TAATTTAAGATAAATTTAAAATAAAAAATAGTTAATATTTTAAGACAAATAGAGAATTAGTGCGTGTTCCGCATGTGAGTGCCATAGTGAGTTATGATTAGTTTGAAGAAAAAAATTACTAGGTTAAATTTTTAATTTGATCCTTGAACTATTGTATGAATTTTTGATTTGATCCTTAATCTAAAAAAATTCTTGATTTGGTTTCTAAACTATTATACGGATGTTTGATTTGGTCTCTACCATTTACTGATTTAGTTTTAAATTGGTCATTTTCTTAAAAAACAATTGAGGTATTTGTTACTTAAAATAGTTAATATTTTAAGACAAACAGAGTATTGCTGCGTGTTCGCATGTGAGTGCTATAGTGAGTTATGACTAGTTTGAAGAAAAAAATTATTAGATTAAACCCCCAATTTAGTCATTGAACCATTGTATGAATTCTTGATTTGATCTCTAAATTAAAAAAATCCCTGATTTGGTTCCTGAACTATTGTACGAATGTTTAATTTAGTTCTTACTATATACTGATTTAGTTTTAAGTTGGTTCTTTCATTAAAAAAAATTGATGTGTCTGTTACTTAAAATAGTCAATATTTGAAGACAAATAGAGTATTGCTACGTGTTTGCATGGGAGTGCCATAGTGAGTTATGACTAGTTTGAAGAAAAAAATTACTAGGTTAAACCCCCCAATTTGGTCCTTGAACTATTGTATGGATTCTTAATTTGATCCTTAAACTAAAAAAATCTCTGATTTGGTTCTTGAACTATTGTACGGACGTCTGATTTAGTCCCTACTGTTTACTGATTTAGCTTTAAGTTGGTCATTTCATTAAAAAACAACTAACATATCTATTACTTAACAGCAAAAGACAGTTACTTAATAACCACGTATCATGTCAATAACGAAACATGTCAGTTATTTTGTATGGAATAATCAATTTAAGCCAAATTGGTAAACAATATGAACCAAATCGAAGGAGCCGTACAATAATTCAAGAACCGAATTGGGAATTTAACCAAATTACTAATATAAAAATAAGAGTAATAATAAATAGGATTAAAATTTTAACAAAATTTAAAATTAATAATTTAATATAAATTATGTCATTTAAAATATTAAAAAGTAAATAGTATATTAATTAATAATTAATTTTTTATTTTATTAAAATTTATAATATTATATATTAATTTATTTAATAATATGATTTATATAATATCAATATTTCTTAATTTCGACCCACTCCTTTGTTCGCCTATGTAAAAGTTATTTATTAATGTAGGAGCCCATGAAATTAATAAAAGGAATTCTTTAATAATGCATTTATTATATTTTTTTATTAATCTTATTAATTTGTACAAAATTAAAAAAAATGAAAATTAATTTTAATTTTATTACCCCTTCAATTAAAAGTTTTACATAATATTAATATTAAAAATAAAATTTATTTTCATAATTTTTTGTATAAGTTAATAATAAAATGATATTATAAATATTCCTTTAATAAATTAGTTAAAGATAATTTCTTCGCATGTTCTTCACCCTCAACCAAATCCAACCGACCCAAAAGTCAAGAGGCTGAATGGATTTATGGAAGAATGCATGGTGTTGATGGCAAGTAAGGGGGAAATGGAAAATGAAAAATGAAATCTTTTACAAAATTGGCACTTGAGAATAGCTTGAATTCCACGTCACCTAGAAAATCAGAAACTCCTAAATTTTCTTTACCCACTCCATCTTGCTCCTCGAATGCAGGACTTCTATATATGATTCCATCAAAGAAGCTTTAGGCTGAAATGTTTAAATGTTTAGAACTCTACATCGAAGATTTTAAGTTCAAACTGTAAAATAAGTGAAGGGATTAAGAAAAAGGAGGGTTATTTTGTATAGCCTAATATCTATGCACCTTAAAAAAATCAAAGAAGCTTCAGCTTTCAATTCAATGGCGATGGATTCAGTCCAGGGGAGTGAGATAAACCATGGCGGAAATTTCTGAGGCAAAAAAACGAGAATTCAGAAGAAAAGGCATTTGCATTGCGCGTTGCTCGTAGTAGTTAACGAGATTCAAACGGCCATTGCAGCGATCACTGCTACGACGACTCGAAGATGGAAACTACTTCGGATATCTTTCCGATCACCTTTGTTCCTCCATGTAATTTATGGAGTCGTTTTCATTGTTTTTGTATATCTTCCCCAGTGCCTTCTCGTTGGGACTGGAAAAGCGGTTCTGTTCTGCGTGGCATCGGAGAGCGGGAAGCAGCTGCAATGAGCAAGCAAATTGAATTACGATCCCCGGCCTAACCGGTGAGTTCGATCTAAAGCTCTGTTCGTAACGTAACTGCCGGTTCTCTTTCTGATCGTGAAATTTCTTTGTTTCAGCCGCTGAATGTGTGCCATACAGGTAAAGATGATGAACGGAACCACTACGGGACCGGCCGTGTCGCAGTCGACTAGTTGGATGTCTATTCATCAATTAAATTTGGATTTTGGAGATTATAGGTTTGATTTGTGCTTTAAGATTTGAATTTTGTATTTTCATATATAATTGATTTGAATTAGTATGCAGGGATCGGATGATTTGAGCATTTTTGTAATTGATGATAGAGAGGACAATGATTTATTACCTGTGCATTCAATCAGAGGATATAACGTGTATAGAAGGGACGATGGTATGCTTCTTTTTCAAGCAGATATAAGTATCCATTAACTATCTTTGAATGATGAGCTTGATTTTGTTTCTTTCGAATAGGGTTATCTCATGGACAGATCCAAATGATTCTTCATTATTAGTGCTTAGTTTTGCATAGGCTGAAGGGTGCTCTTATGTATGGTAAGTCATGGGAAAATAGTGGATAAGAATGCATGAATGCCGATTTACATGCTGAATCTGATGCTCATTTTTTTGTAGGGATCGCATCCATGATGAGTGGAATAAGCAGCTTTCCGGTTGTCTCAGTGGTAAGAATTTTCCATGTTCATTTGAAGGTTACCTATTGTTTTCCTGGCTAGAATGTTTGAAGGAACCTAAATTATGGAACTTTTTTCCTGCGAATTTGAATTTGCCCCAAGAAATGTAAGAAACATTTTGAAACTAATTAATGACCATGGATAGAAATATCCCTCAAGTAAGACTCTATAAAAGTTTACATTTTGTGATTCTTTATTGAAGAGAACAAGGATAGTTTCATTTGTTGACTGAACTTTCAAGCCTTTGTGTTTATGGCTTCTACTGATGTTTCTTCTCTGCATTGGATAGCATTATTGATTCCCGTCTAACAGCTTGATGCACATCAGATGGAACGGCAACCCCACAGACAGATAGTAATTCGCATCCAAATGTTGGTACTAGAATATGATCAGAATGGAAGTTTTTCATATTCAATTGAGAAGCTGAAAAAATCTCTTTCCTGAGAAATCAAGATATGTTTCTTTTTTC